TACCTATGCCTGAAAGCAAGCAGTACATATTTAGTAACAAGATACCGCATGTTCAATTCGCAGCACACTATTGCTGTGGGAGTGAGCTTCACACGGGCGGGATGACAAACCATTCCTGAAATGCCTAAGTTTACAACCCTACCAGCCGTTCTCCAGGTGGGGCCCTCCACGCTGACTAAGCGTCAGATTGTATTGCGACACCACACCGACCTCCCCATGAGTGTGAGGCCCCCAGGAGAGCCCCTTTCTAGGAAAGCCTGGACTGGGCACAGCCGCCAGGAATTCAAGAGGACTAGCAAGGGCCACCATCCTACCAGACAGGAGCTACTTTCTCAATCGGTAACACTCAAAACATGGCGGCACTCCCCTTTGGAGAACAGAAAGTGCCCCCACAGTTTGAGTGCCACAGGCTGAGACGTTCCATGAGGACCCCACGCCATCACCCACGGGAGGACTTCCCGGCAGGGAGGCACAGGACGAACTCACCTTAATCCTAAAACCCGGAAGACGCAGTTAAAAGAGACCAGACATCAAGCTGGTTTTCATTCGGTCTACAACACAGGAGTTCTCAGATCATACCTAATGAGACTTTCAGCGACTTTGAGTTTAGCACAGTCAGAGTTCAACTATACTTCTGGACTGTGGGGTGTCCTCACACTAAACAGGTAAAAACACCAAACTTACAGGATCTGACTTTAGAGGGGAGAATATAGTTTAAGTGGTAGAGCACATGCTTCGTATTCATGAGGTCCTGGGCTCAATCCCCAGTACCTCCTCTAGGCCCCCACACACACAAAAAATTATGATTAAAAGATCTGACTTGAAATGGTCCACAATAGACGTAGGAAGACCGAGGCTTCCCTGCTTTAGATACCCAAGGAAAACCCCCCACCCCCACCCATAAAGCTCCCTTATCCAAGAACCCAAGCGGGAGAGCAGAGCAGACCACGTGGCAGATAGGGGCAAATTCATGGAAACACACAAGAGGAAAAAGTTCAGGGTGCCAAGCCTCCCAGTGGCATACCAGAACCCAGTAGAGAAGGTTAGTCATCAAAGGGCAAAAGCTAAAAGGATATAAAAAGTGCAGCCAATACTTACAAGGCGAAAGGGGAGTCAGCCAGGAACACTGCTCCTCTCTGCAGGTAAAGGCCTCCGGCAGCTGCTGGGCCCTATTATATAAGCCAAAGACCCATTCATTCCAGAATCCACTCCCCTCCACTGGTCTCCGCCCAGACCCACCCTGCCCCCTTCTGGATCAGACCCACCCTCAAAATTTTTTTTTTCAACTATCCGACTCCTTCATTATTTATACCATCAGAGCAAAGTAATTGTAAACAAACTGGGGAAAATGCAGAGAAGTACCCAGAAGATAGTAATTCCCGCTCCCGGAGGCTCAGTTATTCATTCAACAACTATTCACATGTAATATCTATTTGTGGTATTTACTGAGCAGATAAGACACAGAAGGCACTTTGCGAGTTTATGGGGGTGAGTGGGGTGAATAGGCCTTGGGTGTTAGACTCTAGAATGGTGGTTTTCAACTGAGGGTGGTTCTTTTTTTCCTTCCCAGGGGTTATTTGGCAATGTCTGGAGACTTTGGTGTGGTCACAGCTGGGGTGGGGGAGTGGAATCCTGTTCAGTGCAGACAGCCCCTCACAATGAAGAATTGTCCTGGCCCCAAACGTGAATCATACCAAAGCCGAGAAGCTATGATCGAGAAGCAGGGTGATGATGGGCAGGAAAAAAACCCCACAAACACATATAATTGCTGTTCACATTATTTGATCTCAACCTCTGCATATTTATATAAGCATTTCTGTTGGGAACACTTCTGTGCTCTTTAAATCCAATAGTCTATTAAAAAGTATTTAAAATATGTTTCAACCACCATGAATATTAGAATAATATTTCTCAAACAGTTGTCAATAGCTTTTAAAAATGTGCACAGTTTTATTTAATGTATACATATTTTTGAGTTCTGCGGGCTTATTTAAAAGTCTCCCTATGACAAATCTTGGACAAGGAGTAACTGAAGCCCACAGGACATGCTAAAGCGGGAGGGTGTATCTCGGAGTAGAGTGTGTACTTAGCGCGCACGAGGTCCTGGGTTCAGTCCCCAGTACTTCCACTAAAAAGTAAATAAATAAATAAACCTAGTTACCTCCTCCTCCCATTAAAAAAACATAGAACATGCTAAGGATGGTTGGATGAATTTCATTAAATATAAAGTAGTTGGAAAATAAATGTGTTTGGTGTATTTGTCATGTTTTCTTTTTTGTTCTTTAAGTTAATGTGTTTTAATGGTGGAATGGCAATGCAGAGTGTGCTTTTACTGTAATTTCATTAACCCCCTACTGTCAGACATTTTGAATTTTTACAAATTTAGGATAATTTATGAACAGCGCAACAAGGAAGCTTTTTGAGAATAGCTTTGCTAAGCATGAAGATATTTATTTCCGACGTCTTCTGCGAATGCGTGTTAAGCCCTCCAATATTCTCTGCGTTTGGAAGAACTGAGATGATGTGATTTGCCCAAGAAAACAGGGCCAGACAAAGTGGAATGGAACCCTGGTTTAGAAGTCCAGGCTCCACATTCTTACTTCGATCCTGGTCAAGGTTGCTGGCGGGCAGTGTTTATGACCTGGCACCTGCTGAGCTTGTCCAGACTCAGATCTAACCTGTCCACTCCTCTCGCATCACCCCTGGACCCCCAATATGCTAATATGTCCCCAGGCCCAGCAAGGTTCTTCCCATTACTTTCCTGTGTTTGCTATTTTCTCAGCCACAGACAGCTTTCTTTCCCTGCCCTTTTCACCCATGCAGCACATTGGATGCTGGACTGATCCCTACATATCTTTCCTCTAACACTTAAGTCATCTCCCCTGAACCTCCAGATTAAGTCCTCTAAAGCATTCTCCACTCACTCCCCACCTTTTTTAAAAACATAGAAGTACTGGGGATTAAACCCAGGACCTTGTGCATGTTAAGCATGGACTCTACCACTGAGCTATGCCTTCCCCCTCTCTCTGTCTCCTTTGGATGGCACATTTCACCTGCTTAGCATTTTTGTTGGTCTAATAACTTGCTTCCCAGTTCAATTATTTGTCATAATTTTTTTTCTTTTGGGTTTAGCTCCCTGGGGAGACAATGGCTTGTCTTAATCACATATGTTCCCCACCCCCAAACCAGCACACAGTAAAGACGCAACGAGGGGGAGGGAAACTATTAATGCAACTGAATTTAAGGAACATTAAACAAAGACTTACATTCAAAGATGATTTTAAGTAATTTTAATGTAAAAGATCCTTTTTGATATTTTTCCAGTGATGCCTGACATCTGTGGTGAGACAGTCGAAGATGTCCTGCCCTCATCCTTTTGTTCCTCTAAGCTGACATATTTGCTTGGTCTAGCCTTTGTTACTTCGGTAATTTAACATGCTAGTTAAAATCTCAAGATAATGTC